AATGGCTTCACCACCTTCTATTACTAAGGAATAATGATTTATATCTCTCCTTAAAATATAATGTTTGTGTGATTAAAGAGAAATCATCAAACCAAAGATCTCTATTGAAAGTATCTGTATTGAAAGCATCCCTGAAAAATGTAGTTATGTATTTTACCCCAGTTTTCTGAGGAAACAGAGCTTAGGTTATTGCACTGTCTGCCACTCCATCAGTCTCAAAAAAACCCCAATCAGCAAAGGGGTAAAAAACTGAAGTGAGAAATACCTGCATACTTTGTGGAATTCGCTGACACATTAAAGAACCATGGAATTATTGCAGCTTGGAGGGACTTCCAGAGGTCATTGACTCCAGCCCTTGCTCAGAGAAAGACTGGGGTTATTTGGAACCTTTTGCCACTGGAAAGAAAAGCCATAAAAGTCTGAGGTTATTGCAGGATACCGAGTGTTACGAAACGTAGAAAATACATTTACAGGGCATGAAACTTCGTCCATCCCACTACTTGTGGAATAAGTTGCTATAGCTAAATACATATATTGCAGTCAAACAAATAACCAAGTCTTCCCAGCTCATTTTAACAATATTTTATGGCTTTTGCCTGTTGGCTGCCTGTGTCACATGCTGCAGAAGGCTTGTAATTGTTTCTTTCCCCACACTTAGCTTGAAGGTGTTTGCAAGAGTCACTGGTCACCTGCTTCAGCTGGAAGGGCTCAGGTTTGCAATTATGTTGATCTACAGCACCGGGGACAATGGATATGATTCTTTGGGTCCCTAAATAAAGGTTCCTTTCACTCTTTCCAGGTACAAAGCAACCCAGGCAATGAGGCAATTAGAAGGACCATGAACAACAGAACAGGGGGCTTCTGGCCACCGTGAGATAATTTAAACTACTTTTAATACTGTAGCACCAAGTGTCTGATTGTGCATATGTGAGATGGAGGAGAAAAACTATGAGAGACCAGAAGAGGCTGCCTGAGTGGGGCACACTCAGTGTCTTGAGTGTGTGTCAGTGCCTGCTGGCACAGAGGCACGTCTGCAGTAATGGATATTCTTCCACAAACATAGCAGAATAAACTGCACAAGCAGCAACCCCAGTTCTGCTGGTTTAGTACATCGGTATTAAGGGCGTGTGCTGGTGTAATTGCCCTTCTGCCATTAAATGGCTATACATCTTCTTAATTATAGCCACGGCTACCTGCACACATTATGGAGCACCATCCGTGGTGCTGGGAACGAGTTCAGCACTGGCCGGGAGAGGCCATCTCTAGGCTGAAGCAAATGGAGCCAAGAGGGAAGCAAGATTTCCTGCAGCAGGGAGGAAATAAGCAGGCTGGCAGAAACACGCCTGGTCCGGCTGATTCTGCCACGGGGCACAGGATGGGCTGAGCACCCTCCTCCTTTCCTTCAGTTTTCCGCTGCTCCCCCGCACAGTTTTCCAAGCCGTGGCCACCAGGCCCTGCTGAAGATGGGGGTACCCCGGAGCAGGACGGGGTGAAGCCCCCGGCTCTGCCACGGTCAGGATCTCTCTCCTGGAGGGCGGAGGCACACAGACACACAGGGTTCCCGAAGGCTCAGCCTGGCCCACAAGCACGGGCTTGGGAGTGTTTTAAAAATAAACAGCCTGACTTGGATTTATTTTTACGTTTCAGGGAGGCTGGGGAGCAGGTCAGCCTCGCAAAACAAAGCCCATTTCTTCAATGGCATTTTAAAGACGATAGCAGCTCTTCAGCTCCATCTCTTTAGGATGACTAATGTGGAGGGAATGTGGCGAGGCCGCAGCCAGTCCCAGCCCTACTGACCCTGGCACACCCCGGGGATCCCCTGTGCCCGCTGAGCCACGGGCTGGAGCTGGCACAGGGAATCCCGGGCTCAGGTGCAGCCCCACCGGATCGCCCAGGGGACACAGGGGCCAAGGGGGACCGCGCTGGGAGACAGGGGAGAGGCCCAGCTTTAGAGAATATTCTGATAGTGGGTGTAAGAATTGAAAGGAAGGAGTGAAAAAGCAAGGACAAGAATGAAAGGAATGGATACCTTGACTCTATTCGCGATGTTCCAGCTAATGGTATTTACTCTAGCTTTTTGTAAATATCAGTAACCCACGCCAGAGCTTTGCCCAACTTTCCTGCACAAGGAATTTGCCGTCAGAACTCCAGTGGACAGCAGTCACAGGAGGATGTGGTGTGCAGCACAGAAACAAATTTGTAAGAAAATAGGAGGCATTTATGGATCAGCTGGATGAGAAAGCAATTTGGAATCAGAGCTGGAATGAAGGCAGTGGGAAGTGCTGGCAGCAGTGACATAGCCAGGTGGTTATACAGAGGTGACTGTCCTTTCCTCCAAAGGGCAGAGCCTTCGTGTCTTGTGCTGGAGAGCTGAAAATTCCAGGAGGGAGAGGCAAAGGGTCAGGAATATTCAGCAGAGGTATTATTCATGTAGTTAGGATAAAGTGTTAGCATTATGTTGAGATCTGGACTTCACCTTAGGCTCAATAGTTTATAAGATTTCTATTTCCTGCTTAGAAACAATGGAATCACACTGCTACAATCACTGGCTGATGGTATAAAATGCCTGCTATTTAATAATTACATAAATGCATTTGATATTACTATATACCCATACTTAAAATTTATTCCCTCTTAAATATAAATACTTGAATCAATTCTGAATAGTTTTTTGCTATTTTTGCACAATATAAATGATACATTTTCATATGCCTTTTCAAAACATTTTGAAGTACTTTAGACCTTATTGTAGCTGGACTCTCAAAACATAAAGTCGACTTAAATTAGGAATATACAATCAAGTGCTGGATATTGATATGTTGCCTTCACAAACTAACGATGCATTGTTCCCACATGCAGCTAATGACAGGAAAATTCCTGCCTCTCTCTTCAATACTACCTTTTACACTTTTCCACAATAAAGGATTTGTACAGATGAATTTTGCACAATTTTTACTCCCCTAAAACAGTAGGAATTTTGGAACATTATTTCAACAATTTTGGAAAATTAGCTACCTTAAAATGAACTGAAGCTCAGAGAAGTTTTTGTATACAAAAGAATGTTTTTAAGGCTTATGGTAACATCAGCCTACAGTTAATTTTAGGCACTTGTTCTTTGCAGTAGTGAAATTGTTTTCCTCTGTTGTTGCTTGCCCACAAGCCCCATGTTGGTGGCAGAAGAACCAGGTAATAACCCATAGCCACCTCCTTGTTGTGACATACTGGTTCATCCTGTATTGGGGATCACTTGGAAGGGAGGATGGAGGAATGAGTTTAAACCTGTGTATGATTTAGGAGGTTGGAATGGAAGTTGTTAGGAAAGAGTAATTCTTCTGGGAAGTAATTATAGGGAAAGACTGGCAGTGGGGAACTCAAAGTTTAGGACATGAGGAGACTAAAGATACATGCATCAATCTCTGTCTGAACCTCTGTCCTAATCTTCCTCTTTTGCTGAGACAATGTAAACCCAGATTTGGCAGATTTGGCATGTTTTTGCCTGGATCAATAGCAATAAATAATTTCCAGATTTGTAATTAATTTTTCTTTAAAAAGCTTTTGAAAATTCAGAGAAACAGGGAAAGTCAGAATATACTTTTTGAGAGGCAAACTATCAAATTAAGTGCTTGTAAAACCTGATCCTCCCACTACTATCCTCATCTCTGCTTATTTTTCCATTTTCTAGACATGGAATTTAATTCTTAAGGCAGAGTTTCATACGCTACACTTGGAAATTATTTTCCTCCCCTGCCCATCCCTGTAGTCTCCTGTGCTGCTGAGAAACCAGACACATTGAATTTTCCCCTCAGATTGGTTTTGCTTTGCTCATTTTATAAACTAGAAAAACAAATAGTTTTAAAAATTCATTTATGTTCTTGCAGGCAGACCAGCACTTCTGCTTAGGTACATTTTCAGTCCCTTCAGGAGGCCCGATTTTGCATGTTCTGAGTCCTTCCCTTTGGAGAGTATCCTGCTGCCTGCTTCCCAGGATCCTGAAGTAAACACTGGACTGTTTAATGGAACTCTCCATGGCCTTCCAACTACACTTCCATCCTTAAATGAAGCTGCTTCCTTCATTACTTTAACCTCGGCCTGGGCCAGCCAGGTATTATTTATTCATCTGCACCCCTGCCTTCTCCATCCATCCTGGGAAAACAGACAGGTCTCTTAGGAGCGACTACATCCTCCAGACAAGGCCCATGAAAAAACAGCTGCATGCAGGCGAGGAACTGGCTTGTTTATAGTAGATTTTTCCCTTTCCACACATCACACAAATACGCCCTTTACCCGCCCGTCCATGCCGCACAAGCGGCAGCGGATGCCTGCCAGGGACGGGCCGAGGCCCGCTCAAGGCCCACCTCGGGCACGGCCCGGCCGAGCCCCGGCTCCGGCGGCAGCCCCGTGCGGGAGGCTCCGCCGTGAGCCCCCGCACAGCCCCACACCCGCGGGCCCGGGCGCAAGAGCCCGCGGGGCGCCGCCGGAGCGGGGCCGGAGCCCCGCGGGTCCCTCGCGAGGCGTTCGGTTTCGGTACGCGGCCGTGCGGGGCTCCCTCCGCTCCCCGCCCGGGCCCGCACGGAGAGCGCAGGGCGCGGCCTCCACCAGCCAGAGCCGGGGCGAGCAGCGGGGTCTCCGCCGCAGCGGCCGCGAAGGGCCCGGGAGCAGCACAGAGCCGCGGCCGGGCAGGGCCCGGGGGTAGCGCAGAGCCGCGGCCGCGGCGCTCTCCGCGCAGGTGGCGGCGGCCCTGCGGGGAGGCCGCGGCGGCAGCGCCGGCCGGCCCCTGTCCCCGCCCCTCCGGCCTCCTGGGGCGGCGGCGGCGGCCGCGGCGCTGTTCCCCTCCCTCTCTCGCTCCCTCCCCGGCTGCGGGGCTGTTCCCCCTCATGCGGATGTGACATTTCACGGCGTTACCGCAGCCGCCATTTTGAGGCACAGAGCGCTGGCGGCGGCGGAGCGGCAGCAGCGCGCCGGGGCTCGGGCGACGGGGGCGGCC